TGCAAGGCAGCACCTGTTAAAAGTCAGACTGTAAATAATGCTGATCTTGTTGATATTCACTTGGCATTCATGAATATGACTCTGAGTTAGTGAGGTGCTTTGTGGCCAGGCATGGAAGTAGTTGTTAAAATCAAGGTCACTGGTGCAAGAGCCAGCTGCTGAAACTCCTTCCAAAGGTGGTGGGCACCAGGTCTGCTGTGCCTGAGCTCAGGCTGGCTGCCCCAGAGGTTATGGCATGGACTGAAGTGGTGAATTCATTCAGCTCAGTCTCAGTACCTTGGCTTAGCTCTCTCCACAGCCCAGCTCACACAGTATCCATGGCACTGAAATCTCAGCTCTGCTTTGCCATTCCTGTTCACCTGCCACCTTATCCCCCAACCAGACTGACAAACAGCAGTTCTGGAAGGACCCAGCCCATGCAGGCACATGCACAAGAGTGATTTCAAGATGCTAAGCTCTCTTTTACCAAAATATGAGACCTAGGGCAACCCCCAAAGCACCTGTAAGGACACAGTCCACACAGAATAAAGGACAAGGCTGGACAAAAGTGACAAAGCAGAAGGAAGAAGCAAAATATCCAGAGCTATTAAACACTGTCCTCAGAAACAGGTATTGCTCCTCAGTAGGTTAGAAGATTTCAGATTATCACTCTCTTTCTAATGAGAGCTCAAATAAGTGATTATAGAACAAGTGTTAGAAAATACACAGAACAGACAGAGTGTCCTTGACTGGCAACTCAGCAGGTAGGAAATGCCAGCTCTCAGATGCCATACTGGGAGTGTTCTCAATGCCACCACTAAGGATAGGACAGAAATAATTTAAACAATTGTGGGGAAGGGAGGAGGAGTTAAGAAACATCCTCTTATTATCCTTATTAGAACAAACCAGGAGCAAACTACAAGCCAAAGACACCAAGGATAGTTTAGGGATCCCAAAAGAGCTTAAGGTAGGTGCAAAACCAATGGTCCCCTTGGAAAGAAAAAAATTCCAATGCATTAGGGAAGAAATAAGAAGAAAAAAACAACTGAGATTCCTAAGGAAGCAAATCCCCTCTGGTGGCACAGAAGTTAAAAAGGGTTTTCAGCTATTCTGATGAACCAATCCCCTGAGGTGTAAAAAAAGAAAATAATCTCATGGGGCATAGGGGAAAAAAACAAGAGATATTGTTTTTCTTCCTCCTCACATTCTGGCCTTCTTGCATGTTGAAAAAATAAAACATAAGAAAAAGCAGCAAAGATTTTTTTTTTTTGAGACAAAGTAGCAGCATACAAAATGCCTCCCAATAAGAAACACAAAGTTACTAAAACTTTTTACGCCATCACATTAGCAAAACAGCAAAAGTGCAATAACAGACCACTGAAGAATGAGTTTCACCCAAAGAGAAGCTGAACAGCAGGAGCTTTTCTGGAATATTTTAGTTGAGTGCACACATCCATGTCACACCATCACTTCTTACTTAAAAACAGCTGCAGAAGGCTCCTGCTGCGGCCGCTGCCGTTAGCTGAAGCTCTGATCTTCCTGTCTTCATACAAGTCATCAAGCCACATTTCCTGCTGGAATTAAAGTGGCAGCCCCTAGGGACTATGCAGCTACCCCATTTATATCACAGAGAATCTGAAGCAAGCACCAGGATTATTTTCAAACTGCTTAATTTTTTTTTTTTTATTTTTTTTTTGCGACTCCTGAATTCTAATAAGAGTTTTTCTGGGCATTTGCCTTTTGAAGCAATTAAAAGAAAACACAGACATTTTCAGACCTGTGCAAAAGAGCTGGGGGCAGGAAAGACCTATGGGCAATCTCAATGGCATCAAACCAAAGCATGCCTTGGATACCTATTGCACCCTTAGTAGTCACATACAGATGGTATATGGATACTATGAGGGGTATTTATAAAACAACAAAAGCTGCAGATCATGACACACAAGTATTTTGTGTCAGTAAAAACAGCAGAACAACAGGGAAACTGTCCTGGCCAAGTGCTCAAACTACCTGGTGCAGGCAAGGACAGTTACAGGGTCATTGCTAAAGATGCAGAAATGCAGACAACTAGTTTTTGTTCTGTACTTCTACAGTACTTAACACAGCAAGAACCAGGTCAATGGAGTGCTCCTAACAGCTATGAGAGGTTATGATAAATAAGACTTAGGAGAAGATCACATAGCATCCCATTAAGTAGTCTCTGTTGTTAAACACAGATATCCATAACTCAAAGAAAGTCTTATGTTACCAGACAATGCTCCTTAGACATCAAGCAGGGTAAAAAGCAGTCTCTCTTGTATGTGATTCTTTTTTTTTTTAAAGTCTGTCATAAATAATATCAAAATCAAGGCAGAGTTGCTTTACTTCAAAACCAAGGATCATAGAAGTCTACAAAAGTAATAATCTCTTTTTTTTTTTCAAAGAATGGAAAGCAAATCAAACTACAGCATGTTAAATTGAGCATTAGAAGGTCTCTCAGCCACTTCCAAAATTACTTGAGAGCACATTATAATTAGCAAAGGTATGTGACAGTTTTATACCCCTATGATGCATGATTAAAGCCAGGCAGCCCAGTCCTGCGCACCGTCAAAACAGATGTGACAAGAGCTGCAAGCTGCTCCCAGACAGACTGTGAGAACGCATAGGCAGATAACATTTTGGCCATCAAAGATGTAAGACCCGACACAAAACTAATTAAACCTCAAAACCCCTCAGAGAGGTAGGAAAAGTGAGGTTTATGAAGCATCCCATGCTTGAGCTGCTGTGCCCCAGCCCGAGAGCAGGCATGGGAACAAGGTCCTGCCTTGCTCTCTGAGGTGCAACAAGGAACAGAAATTTACAGCCTTGATAGGAACAGCCACAGCCTCAGCAGGAGGATGCAGGGCACAAATGCCTGGAGAGATGCTGCAGTAACACCAGCAGGACGATCTGTGACACTGCTGATCCTTCCCACCCAAGACTGATACCTCTGATCTGTCTGCAGCAGAGAAGAATGGAGTCCTGGGCCACTGTGAAAAGCCAAGTCTAAGCCCCACACAAATCCTGTGCCACATCTGCATGGCTTTGTCTGCTGAGCACTCAAAATATCAATGAGAGGCTCAGCTTCCTACCACTAAGTGCAGAAAAACAAGGTACAGGAGGGAAGCTGTGCATCAGCCAAGGCCTATGCCTCTTGAACCGGGGTTAGAGGGGGGAAAAGGTGTTGCAAGGAAACATGCAAGAGAGTTTTAAGTGTGAAACAGTGTGGCAAGTTTGTTTCTGAGAAGTGTACCCAAGCCATCACTTTTTTTCTTATTTATCTTCGGATTTTCATACTTAGACTAGATCTTAATGCTTCTTCCTTCATGACATTTCTCTGCATACAGCATCTTTCCCTCTTGTTTCCAGGTAGCCTCCCCATGTGCTTCCTCAGCAGTGCTTCAGAGCTCACCTCTTCTCTTGAACATCCCAGCAGTTTCAGGCAGTTTTCCTGATATATCCCTTAAGCCATTCCCACTGCACTGCTCCTGCTGTGTCCTCTTCCCCATCTTCCCTGCAGAAATTTCTTTCTTCATTATCCCCATGCCCACGAGGTAATCCCCTTCCACAGGAGGCTGCAGAAATGGTGCAGCTGGTTTCTCCTTCAGGCACCTCAGGCCTTCCCCAGCATGACTGACAGGGTGACAGACAGACAGACAACTTGCCAGTGCCCAACACTCACCCATGATTCATCCCTGAATTTTCTTAATTAAAAGAGTTGCAAATGGGGAGGCAATTACACAGTGCAATCACTCTTGGATCTGGAGAGTTTTGGAGAACCTCACAACCTCACAAAATTAATGAATTTTATCAAAGACAAATCTTCCACTGCTGCTGCCAGGGTAAGTTGGCTCAGGTGGGCAAAACACTCAAGCCTCTACTTTCTGATGGCTTTGGTATGAAGAAATAAACTTGCTGCATGTTTACAAGCAGGTATATATTGCTCTGTGGCTATTTTGATGAAGAAGATACACGTGACTGCAGACCCTTTACAATCAATCATTTGGAGATAGTAAAAGCAGTGCAAAAAAATAAAAAAGGTGCCTGATTCAGCTCCTGATACCCACTGATGCTGAATGTCCATGCAGCAATGAAAGAGAACTTAATTAAGTGGCATATGCATATATAAATCAGCTAAATAAATTTTGTTGAACATAATCAGTTAATTAGAAATAGAGCTTTCAATACAAGCACCTATGGTTCTGCCTATGCACCTGAGCCTCTCCACAACAGGGGGATCTTAGGGAGCAGGACTGCTTCCAAGCAACTGCATGTGTTGCCAAGCTGTCTTTGTCCCCACAATTATGCTTTGCTATTAACATGATTCACAAAAGAACAAATAAAACCCACTGCAACAAGCCTTTGCTATCACTGGAAGCACATTTTGCTGTGCCAGTGGCAGTCCTCTAAAGAATGATGCTCTGCAGATGTCTCCATTTGGGAGGCTGCTTTAGTGGACACTAACAAAGTGTCTCTGGATGTCAAAACCTCAAGAGAGCATGTCAAATCACTCTCCAACATCCTGCAGCTGAAGTGATTCCAATACTTTTATTTCTAAGAAAATAATCATTGCTGTCCTTGTGTAAAGCAAATGGGATCTTTCATGCAAGTGAGGTGTGTGCGCAGAGCAAGTTTTATGTTGTGCAGTACATACAAATATGCTGAAACATATGTGATGACTTAATATCACTAATTTGACCAAACAGAGTGCAGAGCATAACAGCAGATGTGAATGTTCACTGTGAGTGCCACAGCAGAGCATCAAACATTCCCTTTTTGCACGGCATCTGAACAAAGGGCTTTGCTTAACGGCTCTGTACAATTAAAAGCCTCCAACTCAACCCAAGAGAACCCGAATTCCCTTTCACTCCGTGAAGCATCTGGCCTGATTGCTGTGGCTGCTGATCACTGCCATGTCATCACTCCGAGCCGTGAAACATCCCGCCACCGTGCTAATTAGCTCCCCTTGCAAAGTGCTTGAGCCATAGAGAGAGGTTACTCACGTGATGTCTCTGCGCTGATAGCAACCTTGAAGAAGGCAAGCGATCAGGTCGCTGATAAACTCCACATCATCCCCGTGAAGAGCAGCTTCCAGTTCCTAATGAGCAGAAAGGAGAGAAGAAAAAAAAAAAATCCAACCATTAAAGTAATTCCTTAAAATTTCCTGCTAGCTCATCTGGACCAAAAAGACCCAAACAGCCTCACATATGTGTACAGAGCAGAGCACACATGGGGTGAACTGACCTTCCTCATCATTAAAAATACTGCTTCTACTACCTCTTCATTGCAAGAGTTTATGGGAAGACCTTGAAAGGTTTTTACTGAATGTCACTCTCCAGCCAGAAGACTAATGCTTTTGTCTGGGTGCAGAAAAATAGGGTTCAGTGGGGTTGAGATACACTACAACCTAATAAGAAAGGCATGATTTCTCTCGTGTTCACCTGATGGACAGGAATCAACAGTTTCATTCTTCTGCTTTCCCTCCACTCACTGAGGCTGGTGAGCTCAATTTAAAAGATGTGCTCAGAAAGCAGGGCAGTAAAAGCCACTTACAACTCAGAAGTAGCAGTTTCAGATGGGATTGCCAGAAATGGCTGAAAGCTAGCAAGCAAATGCCTCAAAGAAAAGCAGGCATTTTGATTATTTAGCTTATTTCTTATTCGGCTCCTTTTTTTCCCAACTCCAGTAAGAGAGAAAGGATGGAGGGATGTCAGACTTTGTGACCCAAAATCTCAATCCTCGATGGAGAATAGCGTGGGTCATTCTAGCACAGTGGAGTTCACAAAGATGTGATGCAGAAATTGATCCACAAAAAGGATAAACTCCTGAAATTTACTTATTATGAATTTTGCACCTATTGTAAGAAATATCTTTTTTTCAGCTAACAGTTTCAAGCTTTGTTTTCCAAATATCATTTGGTTAATTACAGTTTTATTTGTATGCCAGAAAATTATTCACAGTAAGAAAAATCCACTTTCTCTAAGACTTACCATCACTAGCATACAGCATTTAACAAGATTTAATATGGATAAACAATATAGGCAGAGTAAGCTATTCTTTTTGGGTTTCAGAGTAAATAATGGATTGAATACAAATTCCTACTTGAATGTTACTCAACAGACTGTTACACAAATAGCTAAGCTAATGGCTACAGAATAAAGGTTAATGGCCAGAGAATAAAGGATAAACGTTTTGGCACTTACCCAATAAAGAAGAGAAAGTGCTTTTTTTATTAGACCACAGTAACTGCAGTAATAAAATTATTGATAACAGATTGCCACTTAAACGCTGCTTGTAGTTTTTTATTGGAAATATATTAATGGCATATTTTCATTACCAACACTGCTCTTATTTACCTCTTGTGCAACATGCAAAGTGCATTAGGAGTGGAAGCCTGACACCTGCCCTGTGAAGAATGCACTAAACACATCTATTACATGTGGGAACTGGAGCTAAGGAAAGGGCAGCAAGCAGCCACAGCCTGATGTCCCTGCCACAGACATGGGGAAAGGACCAGGAATCTCTGTTCCTGCCTCTAGATGAGCACGCTGCTTAATGACAAGTTAACACAAAATCTGCAGTTGCTGCGTGCCATGCCTTGGACAGAGTGATAGTATTGTTGTATAAATAGTAATCATGTTATATAAACAGTAATTACAGAGTGAATTCACTGACAATCATGGAATGTCCTGAGCTGGAAGGGACCCACAAGGACTGAGTCCTCCTCTGGCCCTGGCCCTGATAACTGGCTAGTATTTTAGAAGTGTTGACTTACTTTATTTGTAAAATATTTTAGTGGACAGATGCCTTCTATAAATATCCCTGGAGGAGAGGGAAGCAGGGAGGACCTAAAGCACATGATATGCTAAACCATCCCAGGTGTGTTACCACATTACCACAATAAACCTGCAGCTTGTGAAAAATGACATGTCAGAACCCAGAATGATGGGCAGGGGGGAAAGTGAGTCTCCAGGATGCCTCCCTGCATTCAGCCTCTCCCTCATCCACATACACTTGTTCATTAAAGCTGTCAGTCAGCAGTCTGCCCCTGCTAGGATGTGACAGCCTTTTGTATGAGGAATATTTAAACTGCTTCCCGTGAGCCTTTTCAGCCTGCTGTTTGACTAACACTCCTTCAGCAGTGGCCACAAGTGCCTCAGATAGCCCCTATCTGCAGCCATTGTTTTCCAGGCCCGAGGGTGACCTTTACATTTTTGGAGCTGGCAGGTCACCCCAGGAGCAGCAGGGCATTCCTGGGGCACTGGGCAAGATGCAATCCCTGGGCAGGGACTTAAACACCTGGATGGGGATGTTCTCCCTGCTTCTCCTCCTGCTTTCTCCCTCCCAGAAGGTTGCTCCTTGTCCTTGTCTCCATGGCAGGTGTAGCACAAATTTTGGGGACCCAGACCCAGATGGATCTCACAGACCAATGTGGGGCTGGGTGCAGAGTGCCAGTGCCATGCTGGGTTCAGGGGCTCTGGAACAAGCCAACATTCATCAGCACACACAGCATGAGGCCAGTGAAAGCCCATCCCTGGCAGGTGTGAGGTTTTCAATGCTTCTGTACAAAGACACCTGCCCCATGCTCCCAATGCCATGGGTGCTTCCTTGGAGCCCATCCTGATCTTCTGCTCCCTGCCAACAGTAGCACTCAGTGCCAGAATAATTACAGTAAAGGCACAGTCCAAGTATTACTGTGATTATTTATCTTGGAAAAAGGTTACTGACATTGTCCTATAATGTTTCTGTCTACATTTCAACTATTGTTTCTTGTGACAGAAGGGTAGGAGCAGTGAGAGGAACCTGATGAACGAACACAGGGATTGAGCAACGAACCCAGGGCAGGATCCATCAGCCCTGTTTATCTGAATGCCATCATTTTCTATCCCACTGGATTCTCCAGCTTCTGGTCCCAAAACACCCAAATTCTAGACTCTTCCCACACACTCAGTGCTGTGGGAAGGACAGACAGACTATGAGGATGTGATGCAAATCTGAACATCTCAGGAACATGAACAAAGAATTGGTATCCCTTCAGGATCTCACCTAATGCTTCAGCCCACATTTAGAAGGAGGATTTTTCCTGCCTTCTCTCTCCCAGCAAGGGCCAGCCAGCAAAGCAGCACATCTACAGAGGGAGATGAACTGATGCCAGGTACTCTCAGGAGAAAGAAGCCACCAAAACCCCCCTGGTCCTAAGGGCAACCCCTGCCTCAGTCACCCATCCCCACACTCCTCCAGCCTGGCCAGGACGAGCAGCTCAGCTTCCTCCCCGCCACCATCCTCCCCACGCCTCCAATCCTTTTGTTTTTCCTCTTTTCTCTTTGAGCACTGAGCTGTGAGCACAGAAATCTGAACCTTGCCAAAACGCTTTGGGGACAGCACAGAAAGGAAACAGAAGAGGCAGCAAATCAGCAGAGGAAAAGGGGGGGACACACATCTCCTCCTCCTCTAGCTGGAGAGAGCAACAGACAGGAGAAAAGCAGGATTCTCCCCCTCTCCAGCTGGCGTCACACCTCATTAGGGAAAAGCCTGTTTAACGTCTTTCCCTCCCCCCAGGCCGGTACTAAATCCCCCCTGAGTCAGGCAGGGACTGTTGGGAAGAGGCAATTGCCAGAGCAAGGCTGGGAGCAAGGGTGACCACCCTTCCCAGGAGGAGCACTGGCCCAAAGCAGGGCCAGCAGGGCGGGTGAGAGGCACCATCCTGTCCGTCCCCACTCCCTGGGAGAGGGCTGGGTACCCCACACCCAGCACTGGGGCAGGGATGGGTAACCCCACCAGCTGGGGGCCTGAAACAAATGCTTTTTTGGATGCCTTTTTGATATCTGCCCGGATTTTTGAGCCAACCTTCCCGATGAAAGTAAACAAATGAGTTCACAACAGCAATGCCACTGTCACCAAGCTGGCATGGGGTGACCACAGGGCTGCTGCACACGCTTTTTTTTGAGCTGTGGAAAGCAGCCAGCCAGCCTCCAGCTCCTGCTCCAGCAAGCTGACTGTGCAAAGGGCAGCTCACAAAGCTCGGGACTTTGTTTCAGAAGAGAGACTCCTCCAAACCTGCCAGAGCCCAGTGAGCAGGCTGGGTGCTGAGGAACAGAACTACAATTTTGAGGTTTCTTCTGTGCTGGAGCTGAATCATCTATAACTGAACGTGATGGACATAACGAGTTTAAGCACAGCTAAGCCTTGTCCAAGTTAGCCATCAGTTTAAAAACCCCAATCCCTTCAGCTCTATTTCCATACAGCTGCTGTTATCAGCTTTCCATTGCAATGCTCCAAAGTGACTCAACAGGCTTTAGGAGATCACCAAAAGCCACCAGCAGGACGTGCTGAGCCAGCCCCAGCCCATGCTCTGAAATTTCAGTGCTGTCACTGAGTCAAGTCAGGATGTTCTTTTCTCATCACAGATAATTAATGACAACAGACAACGGGGCAAAAGTTTGGCAAACTCGTGCCACAGGGTAGTGGGATTGGGCAGGAAGATGGAAAGTCAAGTGCAGGCCTGAAATGCTTCCAAGAAGCACCATTTATCCCTCTGGTGTGAAGTCAGTGTGCTCAGCCCCCAGCACCTTCTCAGAATGCCTGAGGGAATCAAGCCCCCACCCAGCAGCTGCCTGCAGCCCAGTGCTGTGTTCTCCCTGCCTGGGATCCCTGCCATCATATGGAAATAGTTTCCAAAATATGAACCTACTGAGAGCGCTCTGCACGACAAGGCAGGAGGGCACTGCAGGGTATCAGGGTGTTCCTAGGGCCAGAGTACCCTACAAGGGCAAACAGCAGTGGGTTTAGCTGGCTGCCATAAATTCAGAAAGAAGTTATGGCTCCTGGTCCTGGTGGAGTCTCACAGCCATGCCATCCTAACTGGCCTGAAATGTTGGAAACACTATGTGTTATCCAAGTCTGCAGCTGGATGCACCTCTCCCACCTTCCCCAGAGTCCTGCAGGAGCCTGCATACTGCTCCCTCCCTCTATGATCTTCCAGGGCTTTAAGGTTTCCTAAGCTAAAAGGATCCCCAGTCTCTTCACTCTGCCTTTCCACAGCAAGGAAAATGGGTGCTGAATGCCCTCCCTGTGCTCCTGGCAGTGAGGATGAAGTCA